TTCCATAATTTGAATGTGTTCTCCAAAAGCTTGTGTTGGTAACTTAGTTATCACTGTAACAGAACTAAGAGGTGAAACCTTTAAAAGGTGATAAGCCATAAGGCCTCTGCCCTCATCAATGGATTAATGCCATTATCAAGGAAATGGGTTCCTTATAGAAGCTTCACTCTGCTCTTGTTCCCTCTTTTGGCCTCTCTTTGCCCTTCCTCCATAAAATAATGCTGTAAGAAGGCCTTCGCTAGATGCCAGCGCCTCAGTCTTGGACATCTCAGCCTCCAGAACCATGAGCCAATCAATTTATATTTATTATCCAGGTATACATCAGAGATATTGTGGGTTCACTTCCAGACCACCACAATAAAGCAAGTAACACAATAAATAAAATTACATGAATTTTTTTGGTTTCCTAGCACAGATAAAAGTTATGTCCACACTATACTGTGATATATTAAGTATGCAATAGCATCATGTTTAAGAAACAATGTGCATACCTTAGTTAAGTAATACTCTAGTGCTTATAATGCTAACGATCATATGAGACTTGAGCAAGTCATAATCTCTTTTTTCTATATTAGCTCTCTTTTATTAAACATGATAACCAGTCTGAAGTATTTTTTTATTTTATTTTTTATTTTTATTTTATTTTAATCCATTTTTTAAATGATATTGTGGGGTACAGTTAAGGTATACAAATATGCTTTGTTCAGGCACCCTTGTTGATAAGAGGTGTCTCCCCATCCCCAGACAAATATTTACTACTGTTAATCCCATCTCCCTTCCCCTCTCCCCCCCATAGTTTCCCACTACTGTCAGTCATTTTCTTATAGTATTATGTTGGATGTTCAAGGTCCACTATATGAGTGAGAACATGTGATACTCAGATCGTTGTTTCTGTGAGAGATCATTGTTCTTTTTTATGACTGCATAGTATTCCATCGTGTATATGTACCACATTTTTTTTTTTTTTTGAGTTGAAGTCTCACTCTGTTGCCCAGACTGGAGTGCAGTGGCCGCTCCTGGCCTCCGCAGCCTCGACCTGCTGGGTTCCAGTGATCCTTCCGCCTCAGCCTTCCGAGTAGCTGGAACTACAGGTACGCACTACCACGCCCGGCTAATTTTTTGATTTATTATAGAGATGAGGTCTCACCGCTCAGGTGGGTCTCGAACCCGCGAGTTCAGGCAATCCACTCACTGTACCACATTTTTTTAATCCACTCCTCTTTTGATGGGCAGCATGGTTGCTTCCAGGTTCTTGCTATTGTGAACAATGCTGCACTAAACATACGTGTGCAAGTATATCTTTTCTGTAGTTTGCTTTGATGATGGATGCTGACTGATTTGGGTGGTGGTTGCTGAAGTTTCCAGTGGCTGTGACAATTTCATAAAATCAGTTAACAATGAAGTTTGCCACATTGATTGACTCTTCCTTTCACAAAGTTTCCCAGAATCATGGGATGCTGTTTGATAGCATTTTACCCACAGTAGCACTTATTTCAAAACAAGAGCCAGGCTGGGCATGGTGGCTCAAGCCTGTAATCCCATCACTTTGGGAGGCTGAGGCAAGAGGATTGCCTAAGCCCACAGATTCGAGAACATCCTGGGCAGCTTGGTGAGACCTCATCTCTACAACATATCAAAAAAATTAGCACTACTCCAGGTAGCACATGCCTGTAGTTCTTGCTACTTGGAAGACTGAGGCTAAAGGATTGCCTGAACCCAGTGGGCAACACTGGGGTGGCTGTGAACTTGCCACTGCATTCTAGCCTGGGTGACAGAGTGAAACTCTGACTTAAAAAAAAAAAAAAAAGTAGCCAGTCCTTTTTAACCCTGCTGCTGCTTTATCAACTATGTCTATGTAATATTCTAAATATTTTGTTGTCATTTCAACAATGTTCTCTTCTTCACCAGTAAAAGATTCCATCCCAAGAAATAACTTTGTTTGCTCATCCATAAGAAACAACTTTTCATTCAGTAAGGTTTTACCATGAGTTTTCAGCAATTCAGTCATATCTTCAGGTTCCATGTCTAATTCTAGTTCTCTTGCTATTTCCACTACATCTGCAGTTACTTCCTTCACTGAAGTCTTGAACCCCTCAAAGTCATTCATGAGGGTTGGAATTAACTTCTTCCTAACTGTTGTTAATATTGACATTTTCATCTCCTCTCATTAATCATAACTGTTCTCAATGGTATCTAGAATGCTGAATTTTTTTTAGAAGGTTTTCAACTTACTATGCCTAGCTGCATCAGAAAAATGACTATCTATGACAGCTATAGCCTTATGAAAGTACTTTTTAAATAATAAGACTTGAAGGTAAAAATTAGTTATTGATCCATGAACTGAAGAATGAATGTTGTGCTAGTAATCATGAAAACAACATTAATCTCCTTATACATCTCTATCAGAGCTCTTGGATGATTAGGTGTTTTGTCAATAAGCAATAATATTTTGAAAGGTTTTTTTTCTATTCAGCAGGTCTCAACAGTAGTCTTATAATATTCAGTAAACCATGCTGTAAACAAATGTGCTATCATCCAGGCCTTGTTTAATTTCTAGAGAAGAAGCAGAGTAGATTTAAAATATTTCTTAAAGGCTTTTGGATTTTTGGAATGGCATAGGAGCATTGGCTTCTATATAAAGTTATGAGATGCTTTAGCCCTTAACAAGATTATTTCAATAGAAGTTGTTTTGATCTACACTGAAAATCGTTGTTTAGTGTAACCAACTTTATCAAAGATCTTAGCTAGATCTTCTGGATAGCTTGCTGCACTTCTGGGTTCACACTTGCTGCATAATTTTCCACTTTTAGGTTATAGAGACAGATTCTTTTCTTGAGTCTTATGAACCACCCTCTGCTAGCTTTTGAGTTTTCTTCTGCAGCTTCTTCCCCTCTCTCAGCCTTCACAGAATTTAAGACAGATAGGTCCTTTCTCTGGGTTAAATTTTTGTCTTCATGGAATTTTGTGGCTGGCGATCTTTTATTCAGACCACTAAAAATGTCTCCCTATCAGCCATAAGGCTATTTCACTTTATCATTTGTGTGTTCACTGTTGTAGCACTTTTAATTTTGTTTTTTTGAGAACTTTTCCTTTGCATTCACAATTTGGCTGTTTGGTACAAGAGACCTAGCTTTTGGCCTTCGCTTTCAATGTGTATCAAGCTTATTCAGATTGATACAGAGGTACATATACATCATTGATGTGCTACCAAATCTTTTGAGTTTCTTTACACCCTAAGATTAAAAACTGAGTACTTTGTCCCTCATTTTGTTTAGACTGGCCTTAAATCATTACATTATTTTATTGCCAGGTACAGTGGATCACATCTGTAATCCCAGCACTTTGGGAGGTGAAGGTCAGAGTATTGCCTGAGCCCATTGATTCGAGACCAGCCTGGGCAACTTGATGAGACCTTATCTCTACAGTAAATAAAAATATTAGCCGAGTGTTGTGTTACACTCCTGTAGTTCCAGCTATTTGGAAGGCTGAGGCGGAAGGATTGCTTTAGCCCAGCAGGTCAAGGCTGTGGTGGCCATGAATGTGCCACTGCACTCCAGCCCGGGCAACAGAGTGAGACTCCAACTCAAAGTAAAAAAAAAAAAAAAAAAAAAAGAATTATTTTATTGATTAATAAAATTGGCATATGAAAGCTTATGAATTAGATATTTCATTTTAAATCCAGGATGATTATCAATTCAGTCTTATTCTCCAAGACTTTGCTCCCCAACTCATGTAGAGATAACATGTTACAGCTTTTACTTATAATTTCTGGTTAAAAATTAATACAATTAAGAAACAAGTTGAATAACAGCATGCCAATCACTGTTCCTTTAATTATATGCTTGAACCACTACAGAACATTCAGAGTTATTTGTATGATTGCCCTTTCAACTGTATATGGTATACTTATTCTAAATTATGATATCCATACTCAGTGAAATATTACGCAATTATTAAAAGAATGCTTATAAAGAGTTTATAATGACATTGACCTATGCATGTTGTGGTAAAGAAAATCATGATTAAAATGTATATATATCATAACAGCAAATCTGCACGAACAGAAATTCCTATGAATGGGAAAATATAGGAAAAATTTAGAAAACATAAAATATTAATTGCAGGGTCTCTGTATGATAGAATGCATGACATTTTTCACCTCTTTTAACTTTCTCATAGGTTCCAAAATTTGTGTATTGATTACATATTACTTTAAGTGATTATTTTTTAAATTAATTTTTTTTTTTTAATGTGGAGTTCAATTCAGGGTTAGGTATACAAATGTTCTTTATGTGGGTACTCTTGTTGATGAGGTGTGTTCCCACTCTCCCCCTGCAGTTTCCCACTACTGCCAATCCCTTTCTCACAGTATTATAATAATTGTTCAAGGTTCGTTTACGAGTGAGAATATGTGGTAATCAGTTCTTTGTTGCTGTGATAGATCACTCAGAATTATAGACTAAGTCCATCCAAGTGCTGTGAAGTTCATAATTTTGTCTTTCTTTATGTCTGTGTAATATTCTATCATGTATATGTACATTTTTTTTTAGTCCTCTTTCAATGGGCAGCATGGCTGATTCCATGTTTTTGCTATTGTGAATAATGCTGCAATAAACATGTGCGTGCAGGTATCTTTTTCATAGAGCACCCAAATCACTATGAATAAGTGATGATTTTTCATAAATTGAAATATCTGTACAAAACACAGAAATTGAAACTGTATAAAAATTCCAAGACAAAAGAATAACAAATCATTTAGAATTGCCAATACTCCCAGATTAAAAATCACCTTTCATATTTGCAGATTATTATACTAAATATTTTTCTATTCATTTACATTGAACAAGCAAAGAGAAAGTAGAAGGATGATTTGAAAATGAAGTATTAATAGTATATGTGCTCTAAGTTAAATATCTATTAAATTTATTATTAGGAGAAGCGGCTGCAGCGCCGAGCGGAGGAGGCAGGAACCGAGTTCGAGCCGCAGCTGGGTGGGCACCATGGCTGGAATCACCACCATCCAGGCGGTGAAGCACAAGATCCAGGTCCTGCAGCAGCCGGCTGACGATGCCGAGGAAAGAGCCGAGCGGCAGCAGCGGGAAGTGGAAGAAGAAAGGCGGGCCGAGAATAGGCTGAGGCTGAGGTGGTCGCCTTGAACCGTAGGATCCAGCTGGTCGAAGAGGAGCTGGACCGTGCTCAGGAGCGCCTGGACGCTGCCCTGCAAAAGCTGGAAGAAGCAGAAAAAGCTGCTGATGAGAGCAAGAGAGGTATGAAGGTTATTGAAAACCGGGCCTTAAAAGGTGAAGAAAAGATGGAACGCCAGGAAATCCAACTCAAAGAAGCTAAGCACATCGCAGAAGAGGCAGATAGGAGATATGAAGAGTGGCTCGTAAGTTGGTGATTATTGAAGGAGACCTGGAATGCACAGAGGAGCGAGCTGAGCTGGCAGAATCCCGTTGACGAGAGATGGATGGGTAGATCAGACTGATGGACCAGAACCTGAAGTGTCTGAGTGCTGCTGAAGAAAAGTACTCTCAAAAAGAAGACAAATATGAGGAAGAGATCAAGATTCTTACTGATAAACTAAAGAAGGCGGAGACCCGTGCTGAGTTTGCGGAGAGATCAGTAGCCAAGCTGGAAAAGACAGTTGATGATTTGGAAGATAAACTGAAATGCACCAAAGAGGAGCACCTCTGTACACAAAGGATGCTGGACCAGACTCTGCTGGACCTGAATGAGATGTAGAGCACCCCAGGCCCACCCTGCCGCTGATCCTCCCTCTGACCCCGACTCCGCCTGAGGCCAGCCTGCCTGAAGATGACCTCTAACCTGAGGGCTGATCTTTAACTGGAAGGCTGCTTTCTCCTTTCGCCATTCCCTCCACGCTCCTGTGTCTTTTTCGCCAAACCGTCTCTGCCCCTTCCCAGAGATTCCAGCTGGGCTAGAGGCTGAGCACATTTGGGAACAGCATTTAAGGGAATGTGCGCACAATGCAAAATGTCTTTAAAAACATGTTGTGATATACACATTTTGTAATTAACCTTTTTGGTCTTTTGAAGCAACCGTTGGTAAAAATATTCCAAATAATTCCACAGCTCTGAAGCAGCAAACTAATCCCTTTTTCTCTTTTGGAAGGTGACTTTTTTGTTTAATACATATTACCCTCTCCATGGAGAAGGGAAAAAAGTGTGGGCCTGCCTTACTGAGAACCAAACAGAGCCCTGGAAAGGTCTCCACTATGGGAAACCTCATTGCTCTGTACAAAGTACTAGCCAAACCAGAAAGGTGATTCCAGGAGGAGTTAGCCAAAACAACGACAAAAATGTGCTGTTCAGGTTTTCAGCTTTAAGGTGTCTTTGGACAACTTTTTTTTATTTTTTATTTTTTTCATTAGAAGTGACCAAATTAAGATGGTGAGACCTCTGAGACCAAATTTCTGATCTATGTCTACTCCCTTCCCAACCACTCACAGAATGGATCATGTGCCCCTTATGTTGAGGTGACCACTTAATCGCTCTCCTGCATTTTTGAAAGAAAATTGTGATTTTTGCCACTGATTTAGCCATATGAAACTCATCTCATTACCCTTTTTGGGGTCTGAAGCTGCTGTCTCTAAAAGTGCCATTTCATTGTGTTTTGTATCAGTCAGTGCTGGAGAAATCTTGAATAGCTTATTACGAAACTTTTTAAATTTTATATTATTTTAAAGCTTTGCTTCTTTGGGTTTAGGGTGCCCTGGCCACCCCAACTGGCTGTGAGAGCCTACAGTTTGTGGGCTGGCAGTGTGCTGATCTTTGAAGTTTCTTTCCCTACCCAGTCCCCACTTTTTGGTAAGGTTTCTATGAAGTCTGTTAGGTGTACATCCTGCAGCTTATTGACTTAAAATTTACTTTCCTTTGGTGTGGTCTCTTTGGGGCCAATTGGGAGAAAGAGAAACCAGTAGTGTACCTGTTTTGATACTGCATATTGATAAGTGTCTTTTTGAAATAAAGAAACAGTCCCTCTCTCAGAAAAAAAAAAGTATTATTAATTCTATTTCACAAAAAAGAAACTGAAATAAATAGAAATATATCCTAATTTCCAGATAAGTGTACTTAAACAACATGAGTTATTAGTTTCTTACTTCTGAGATTAATAATAGAGAAAAACAGTATGATTTTTAAGCTACATACTGAATGGTCCTCTTCATAAATGATGAGGTAATTGGTATTGCTATATGTTCTTTTCTTCTCTCCCACCATCCTATTATGTATATTGCATTAATCTGTTTTAGTGATTTAATAATTTTATTTTTATTTTTATTCTTTGTAGTGACGAAGTCTCACTATGTTGCTCAGGCTGTTCTCAAACTCCTGGGTTCAAGCAGTCCTCCCACCTCAGCCTCCAAAAGTGCTGGGATTACAAGCATGAACCACCAGATATTTTTAGTATTTACAAGCAGTTATGCAACCAAAAAATTTCAAATTGTTTTCTAATTCCTTCTCATGGTTCACCTCTTAATTCAAATTCTCACTCTGCCCTAGCTCAATTCCCTAGGAAGCTTTATATTATCACATTAATCTCTTCTTATCAGAAGAGAATATAATATAGTACTTAATTGTTCTCTAGTTGCTTCATTTGTGCTCATTTAGATTTATAATTATTTTATAGAGCTATTGATGAAATGCTTTTGTTTTCTTTACAAGTTCTAGCACAGTAGAGGGTACAGAGTAAGTACTCAATAATCCTATACAAGTTATTTTTGTAAGATATATCTAAGCATTCAATAAAATATCTAACGTATCTATCCCTTTCTCATTCCTGTAGATTGATAAAAAGTAAAATTAACATGAGTACCTTGCTCTTTACAAAAAATAATGTCACAGTATGCTATATCATTCTAAGTATCCACAAATCAGTTGTTAACATAGGCAATTCTTGCTTTGCACAGCCATGCAGTCATGAAACTGTAAGGCTGAAACCGTGCAAAACAATTTTAATAATCAGTGGCAAACATTGTGGTTGTTCAGTCAAACAAAATTTTTGTCAAAATCTTAAAAATTCTTACTATCGTCTATAAATACATAGGAAAATGAAAAATATTAAAAGTAGCACGCATTTTTACATTCTAATTTAAAACATTAGAAAACATAATTTAAAATATTTTATTTGTTAAAAAAACGGAGTAATTTGAAAATTCTTGCTTCCTTTCTCATAGTATAACTTACGATATGGAGTAAGCATCTTTTCTAGGCCTCAGTGAATTGTCATACTCTGCCCTAAGTTTGCATCCGCTTATTAAGTATTATTTGCACTTTCAGTGTTTAATATTTCAGGAAATATTTTTTATTTCCTTGAAAGTGAAGTTTTTGCCAGCATCAATTTCTCTAAGATAACTTTATCCTTTTTTTCTCCCCCCCCCCTTTTTTTTCTTTCTTCTTTTAAAATTATTTTTTGTTTCAAAGATGTGGGGTACAATTCAGGGTTAGGTATACAGACGTCGATTATGCAGGTATCTTTGTTGATGAGGTGTTCCCCTCCCTCCCCTAGAAGTTTCCCTCAACTGCCAATTCCACCTCCCCCCCCCACCCCCAGGCAGTTTCCCACTACTGCCAATCCCTTTCTCATGGTAGTACGATAACTGTTCAAGTTCTGCTTATGAGTGAGAACATATGGTACTCTGTTCTTTGTTTCTGTGATAAATCACTGAGTATGATCAACTCTAAATCCATCCAAGTTGCTGAGAAGTCCATACGTTTGTCCTTCTTTATATCTGCATAATATTCCATCGTGTATATGTACCACATTTTTTTTCCATAGCCACATTTTTCTTTCATGTATATAAAGTCACCTTCACCAAATTCTCTGGCTGTACTTCTAGAGTCTTTGGGACAGCAGCAGTGCAACATTCACATTATCAGTTACTTCTAAACTCCACTTGTGTCAAATTAGAATTGCACTTCCAATAGTGTCACTTTTTGTTTCTTAGCTGCATTTTCATCCTTATTGGCCAATGCCCTTTTCTGATCACCTGTTTTTGTAAAATATGGCATGAGTTTATCACTGGGAGACAAGGTAGAAACATAATTACGCTCTTTGTTGTCTGTAGTTGAATTGAATAAACAGATGCATGGTGATCAGTTACCCACAGGTTTTGATTGAAGTGATGTAACTGGCAGTTCATCATGATGGGTAGTGACTTGTGGACTGAAGAGCTAGCAGTAAGATTGTACTTTGTGTGATTATTCATGGTTAATGTATAGTGAAACTGAGACTTGAAGCATATTGTTGGGAACTAGTGTTATTTAATTTTAATGTGATAACTGAAATGTGTACATATCTGGACTATGCAAAAGCAAGGACTATTATTATTTGGTTTTAATATATTTTTAGACCAATCATTTTTTTCTACAGTTTTCCAAGATAAGCATAGTACTTTCCTTTTACTGATTTTCTGGAATTTATTATCTATTCCTTTCTAATTGAAGCTAATAGTACTGCAAATGTGTCTTTAGTTCTTTAAGTATGCCTGGATATTCAGCAATAACAATATATCCAGGTACTCTATTTATTTTCCTGATAACATAAGCCCTGCAATGAGTCAATCATTCAATCTATAATCTTATGTGAAAAAACAGGAATGCATATATTAAAAAGATTCAGTTTTTATGCTACTATGTGCTGGCCATTTTCCCTTCTTTGACAGATAATAAATACTACCTATTTGTTCTTTCTTTATTGCCTATTACATTTAAGGACTATTTTTCCCACTTGATTGTTTGTTTAGTTTTATTGTTGTGTTTTAATGCTCTTAGTTTTTTACATCTTTCTTCCTTCAGTAACCTGACCTAATTTCTACTACTTTGATTTTTTTCCAGTTAACCTGAAAATATTGACTTTAAACATATCTTGCTCTTGTTTTTCAAAGCTTCTGAGTATCTTTAGAACAAAATGATTTGCCTTACAATTTATCTCCTTCTTTTCAAATGTTCATGAGTGTTCGTATTAAAATGTAAAAACCTAAATATATTTGATCTCAATCAGTTTTTATTGTCTACCATTCATTTTGACACTGGCCGAGTCAGTCTCAAAAGTTATTTGGTGAGCTGACAAGAATAATTCATTTATCCCCTTATTTTATTTAAAAGTCTACTTTCTTCCGGTAGGTTTATAACTATTTGCTGAAATGCCAAACAGTTAAAGAAAATGTTAATACACAAGAAAACATCAGATCTCATTTTAACTTCTCAATCTTTCTTCTAACTGAGCGTTTAAATTACAAGTACCTTGCCATGCCATCTAATCTGTTACTCCAATATCAGCACAGCTTTCTTCATAAGCGAAACCATCAGTTTCCCTAAGTAAATTCTATCTCCCTATATTTGCATATGAAACATACAAGTTATCCTGTTATTTTTTTCTCAATTCTATCGCCCATGTTAGATGTTTTCAAAAATCACTTCATTTTGACACCACATCTTAAAATTTCAAAGCAAACTACACCTAATTTATTATCTAGTCTTAGTTTATTGTTTTCATTACTAGAAAGTCAATGTGCTGACAAAAATATTTTCTACTGAAAAGAAGAGGGGCAGCATGGAGTTGTTGAAAACTCACTTATCTGAAATTCAGGTGATCTGAATTCTACTCCTAACTCTAATCTAAGAGTGTGGCCTCTAGAAAATCAATTTTTCTAAGCATCACTTTCATTATTTATAAAATGATGCGCATTTGGAAAGGGAAAGAAGATTTAAAGTTGGCACTACCTACATTTCTTTGACTGTGTCCCATCCCCTTTGAAATTTTCTTTTCCTGAATCACTTAAAATTCTTATTCACTATCTACTTTTAATATGTGCATTTATCTCTAAAATGCTTTTGTCACCATGATAGTGAAATAGACTGAATGTTTGTGTCCCTCAACAATTCGTATACTGAAGCCCAAATCCCCAAGGTGATGGTGTTTGGAGGTAAGTCCTCTGAGAAATAATTAGTTTTAGATGAGGTCATGAGGGTAGAGCCACCATGATGAGATACATGTTCTTCTAAGAGACCAGAACTTTCTTTCTCCTTTATATGAGGATGCCGCAAGAAGGCTGCCTTCTACCAGCCAGGAAGAGAACCGTTACCAGACATGAAATCTGATGATCTTGTTTTTGAGCTATGAGAAATAATTGTTTGCGGTTCAAGCCACTCAGTCTATGGTATTTTGTTACAGCAACCCCTAGTATCTCAACTAGAACTATGAGTAAGTATGCTGACTTTAAGACCCCCCCAATAACCTCAATTATTTTTAAAGAATCTTAGTTATTCAAAACATAGTGTTTCACAATCCATTCTATTCTCAAAGAAATCAGTTATATAAGGTAGTCAAGAATAGTTCTGATATAACTGGAAAATCATACATAGGGAAGTTTTGTGATTCTGTGGGTGCTAAAATAGTAAAAAAAAAAAT